CTGTTTTTTATTATCTTTAGTTGATGTATTTTATGTGGCCGATGAACCACAACCTGACTATCCTGTTTTTTATTATCTTTAGTTGATGTATTTTATGTGGCCGATGAACCACAACCTGACTATCCTGTTCTTTATTATCTTTAGTTTATGTATTTTATGTGGCCGATGAACCACAACCTGACTATCCTGTTCTTTATTATCTTTAGTTTATGTATTTTATGTGGCCGATGAACCACAACCTGACTATCCTGTTCATCTCATTCAGTATGCCCATGACAAAGTCCTACTTGCTATTTTTCCTACCTCGTTCATTCTTAAGAGAGTTCTTCAACAGGTTGTTGATCGTTTTCTCCAACTGTGTAAAATCTGGCGTCTTAAACTAAGCATCTCTAAGACCGCAGTTACACTGTTTGGCCTAAATCGGAGACATTGTTGCGATCCTCGCCTTTTGGACGTCCATCTTGATCATGTCTCCATTCAGCTTTCAGATTCTGTCAAATTTACGGATGTTGTTTCTAATAAGCCAACCTTTCTGCAACCTGCTCCGAGCTCGTCAAGAGAATCAGTCTCAAACGATACCTCCCTGGCACATAATTGGGTTTGAATTATCCCACTTTTCCTCGTCCATGTATTAGCTATGGTCATACTGCATGAGTATCAGTTTCTTATACATATTCTTATCATCTAATAATCCTGGAAAATCATGCTTTCAGATTAGCTTGAATTTATCTCCCCAGTCCCACCGTCTCAAACGATACCCTCCCTGGCACATAATGGTTTGAATTATCCCACTTTTCCTCGTCCATGTATTAGCTATGGTCATACTGCATGAGTATCAGTTTCTTATACATATTCTTATCATCTAATAATCCTGGAAAATCATGCTTTCAGATTAGCTTGAATTTAACTCCCCAGTCCCACCAAAGATCCATATGACTTCATTAACTTCTAAAGTAAGGTATGTAGCATTAACTTCATGCTACATACCTAATAATGTTATCCTTGCGGACTTACAGAGTTTGTCTGTAACTCCGTCTTGGAAGCTCATCCCACCTTGTGAGCATCTCTTTAACAGATGCCTCTTCCAGTGGATGTACCAAATTTTGATGTTGCCCTATATTCATCTCAGGTAATTCGTTTTTCACTCACAGCATATTACGTTTTTCATATTCGATCTGTGATGCTATGGTTACACTAAACGACTACTTCGCCCACTTGTTTCTTCAGTCTCGTTTCTCCTACGCTGATTGGAGACTATTATCTTCCACCTAATCATCTACACCTGTAAAGTTTCCTAAAGTTTGGATTTTGCTCCTGACCAAAGAGAGGGTGCAACCCTTTGCTGTTCCGCCAGTTTTCTTACTGGAACTAGAACGAAATGACCAAAATAGAAAAGAACCTTTTGTCTTTGATAATACAGCCAAAAGCTAAGGTCTATGTTTCAACAGGATTACCTCGAAATAGTAATTGTTTATCTTGTCTTCGATAGGTCACTTTAAAGTAACTAGTTAACATTTTAAGTTCAAAATCTTACACTTGTAAAAGCAACATTGTGAAAATCAATGTCTGACTCACTTTCTATAGCAAATTAAAAGTCTATACGAAAGAGGCTTTATTAGATAATTTTAAAACGACACTTATGAAAAACATTTATTTACAATTAAAAGGAAAACAACATTAAAATCTTACACGATAGATAGTTATTAAAAACAGGGACTCTTGAAGATGGTGTCATACAGACACTGAAACAAGTGTAGAGTCTTTTGAGGGCAAATCCCTGTTTTTTATAACTATTTATTGTCTAATATTTTAACGTTGTATTCATTTTAATTGTAAATAGAGGCTTTATTGTTAAAAAGTAATTTTGGTACATATGTTCTTTGATACAAAGTTTCTGTATACTAAGTGGACCCACTGGAATTTGAGTTATTTGTCTAAAAATGTTTTAATTTGATTATTTACTATTAGCATTCTTTTCATTCAAGATATACATTTTGTAAAATATGCCATTGGAAGAGTCTGAGATTCTAATGTAAAATATGTCACCAAAAGTAAATTAAAGATGTTTTATTTTCAAGTTGTATATCTCTAATATGAACTGTATGCCTCTTGTTGTATGGACTTGTATGTTTATGCTTTTGGGAATGCAAATGCATAAACTTTTATGCGTGTACCTTATATACTCGTAAAATAATTTCAACCTCTCCAATGTATTAGTCGTGTAAAAGTCGACCTCTAAATTATAGCCTAAAAAAATTGGTCACAAAAATTCGTCTATTACACGAGTATATACGGTATATATATATATATAACTTAGACATAAATTTCAGGAAACTTTTTATGTAAAAAAGCAAATCATTTTAAGAAATCTAAACTTATTTATCTTCTAACTTGTTTCGCAGCTTCAACACTGTTTTATATTTTCTTTTTAAAATATCATTAAAATCTTTTTAAAAAATCTTCATTTAAAGCAAACACTGTTCAGCCTAATGTATGCAACTATAAACTCGTTCTTTCGCTGATCTTTTTCTGTGTTTTACGTTTTCACTACTTAGTTGGTGTTTTTTTTTATGTGTTTGCACAGCTGAGTGGTTGAATTAAATATAAAATAAATAAGGAACATTTCGAAGTAGTCAAAAGTTGGTAGAAGAACGATCTTTTTAGCTGTTTTTTGATTAATTTGCTTTTTCATATCGCTAATGTTGATCCAGCGTGGCTTTTAACTATTAAATTCAGTACTTGCATCTTTTCGCTTTTTCTGACATCTAGTGCGTCTACGAAACCTTTGGAGCAATTTTTCAAGCTAAAGGAAAAAAAAACAACAACAAAATTTTCTTGTGCAAATAATGTGGAGAAAACAATGAACACTATGAGACTAATATACTGAAAAACCGACCGCACTTACCCCATAAGAACCTAAGTTATCCACCACGCACGGTAATTGTGCATCACGACCAACAGGCACCGTGACGTTTGGAACTGCTCTAGCAAACTCTGGTTCCGGTCCCTCAGCTGTGAATGTAACAATATTTCAGTAACTGTACATAGAAAAAGTTAGAAACTTAAATATATTCAAATGCACTGGCAGAGTATACGCTATAAGCACAAACGCAGCATTGTTAACTTACCGGTAAAGATTCTGGATATGAGAAATACTGAGATACTGGAGCTATGTAAAACTGTAAAATAATCAGACTTTTTTGGTGCAAAGAATAAAGTTTCGCGTATCAGTTATGACCAACGTAACAATGCGTGAGGCATAGAGAGAACTGAGAGGTATTTTAAAGTGCTCAAGATATGAAAAAAAATATATATTTACCATCTTACCCTTCTAGGAACTGTAAGAGAGTAATTATGATTATAATTCCATGGATGAAAGACCTTTATATTAAGGTATATCTCCAGATCCTCCTGTTTGTTTAACCAGGTGTGTAAGGCCTTCTGAAAATACTTTTGGTTTAAACCAGTTAATACAGTTCTTGTAAACCCCTGAGGGGACAGAAAGTATGCAATATGCTATACTTCTAATATAAGAAGTAGGAAATGCGTATTTGCAACGGTTGAAAACTGAAAGAAAAAATGTGAGACGGGAGATGTTAAATACAAAATGTCAAATCTAGGTATATACCCGAAGGAGCGTCAGCCGGGTTTATAAGAAATAAGACGAAAAAAGCTCGACTTAGTTCCTTCAAGATGTTGTAGAGAAAGTTTGGTGTTTCTCTCTCTATTTATTTATTTATTTATTTTTTTGTATATTAGGACGGAGCAGAGTAATATGAAATCACAGCCCTTGATCTCATACTTCCTACTTACCTTGTGCATAGTACTCTAACAACCAGGTGTTAAAAAGATGGTGAAGTCAAATGTTTCAAAACAAGCTTTATAAGTTGGAATTTTTTTTTTTGGGGGGGGGTACACCGCCAGATATAGTTTACTAAAAATAAAATGCTTTATGACGGTAACTGCCTGCTGTAGAAACGCAAGTGTAGGGTACGACGTTTCGAATGTCTTCCGCCTTTCGTCTTTCGACTTCAAGAGAAAAGGCGGAAGACTTTCGAAACGTCGTCCCCCTACACTTTCGTTTCTCCAGCAGGCAGTTACCGTCCATTCAACTAGGTTTCATCATGAATACTTTGTCTAAACGATCTCTCAAAGAAAAAATGCTTTATGGTATCAAACCCGCAAAGCTAAATATTACAGTTTTGCTACCCTATGTACAGGTAGTATATTGTAAGAAACAATAAGCTCTCACCTTCATTGATATCGTACTTATCCGTTTGCTCGGCGTTTCGCTATATCTAAATGTCAGGCAGCTTCATAGCTGGGTTAAAAAATTGTTTTCGGATGAATGATGGATAAAACACATATATGAGAGTTAGTACATGTATGATAATATTATTCTATATTACATGATAAACAGGTTGTTGAGAAGACTATTTTGTATTTGATAAAACTAATTAAATAAGGCAGAGCGCGGATTATACTTAGTGCTTGAACTGTGAATCCGATTATTCATAGCTCGAGGCTGAATTACGCAAAACCCGCTTCGCATTATTCGATCATATAAAAGTTGTCGGTGGGTGCTATTAACTGGTTACCTTTTCTCTGTCAGTTCGAAATTCGGAACGACTATGCGCAGATAGCCCTTTGTGTAGCTTTGAGCGAAAATTCTAAAAAAGTAACAGATTAACATTACGAACAGTCCGTCATTCACTAAGTATAAACAACACATAATATATGATACTGTGTGATAGAAGATATACGTAAAACCATATTTAATATTTATCTATATATATTTCTTTCTAACAAAGATGGAGATGTTTGTTATTTATCCTAGGCCTTTTTTTATTTTATTTTTCGCCGCAGTATTTCCTTCTACAAGCTGAAGGACTGGAGATAGAGATTAATTTCACTGAGGCTAAATTCATTTGCTTTCCAGTCTATTGAGATTATACCCAATATTATTAGTTAGAAATACATTGTAAATGATCAAAACATATTGTATTACAGGTATACATAATTATCCGATGGAATACTTAGAGAACTACATCCAGTTTAATAAAATATTTGATGGATGAACCAAACCTAAGGCCATTTATATAATTATAGGAATTATTTCCAACGACCGAATTTCTGTAACTTAGGTTAATAATACAGACATTAATGAAACGCAAGTACCATGAAAATCAACAAAACAGAATTACTTACATTTTTTCTCAAAGTAAACACACAGCGCAGCCGTATTCGAAAAGATTAGACAAGTCCAGACACCGAAGTCTAAATTTCAAATGTCTGGATATTACTTGTTAGGAAGTTTACTCTGCTATGTATTGTTACTACATAAGTTCAACTACGTTATGTAGTGAAACTAACGTCGTTCCAAGGACAAGTAGTGGAACGACATTAGTTTCAATACATAACGTAGTAAAACTACTTGTCCTTTTTACTACGTCATGTATTGAAACTAATGTGCTATGTATTGTGACTACTTTTGATCCAATATTTTGTCTTAATGAAATTTTAAACATTACACAATGTTTGGAATTTTTCAATGAGTCTCTTTCTCTCTCCCTCTATATATATATATATATATATATATATTCTTTCTTAGGTTATATCTATACACACCGTATATTAAAGTGAATAGAAGGTCAGAGAACAGGCAAAAATGTCATTACTAATAAGTTACTTAATTGTCTTAGCAGAACCTATCTGTCAGTACAGTCTTTTGTGATATATTCTCTAAAGTCTCGCGACAGTATTAAAAATTTGATCGATGTTTTCTGCTCTATCAAACTAGATTCGGAGAACACCACCCGTCATCAACGTTACTGGTTTCATCTCAGTCAGATGACATTCATTGAGCTATATTCACAGCAGTGGATTTAAGCCACATCACTGGTTTCTTTAATTACGTTTAAAATATACTGTTAAACAATGGTGAAGAAAATGTCAACAAATATTGCAGATAGTATAACCTGTTAAAGATATTAAAAATAAGTAAACTGTTAACAGTAACGATGTTTGACTTCTGAGCGCTTCCATTTAGTAAATAATCTAGTTGTGAATAATGTAAGTAGGTCAGTGCTTGTTTCTTTCTGAGTTAAAGCTATGAGAAAGGTATAGAAAAAATAGTTCGTACACAATTCGATTTTCTGAAAACATTAGTGAAAAACTAGCTGCAGCTTTTCACGTGGAAGGTTAGGAATAAAAACAAAAGTTTTTGAAATAATCAAGTATTTCCAATTAAGATATCAAAAAATGACCTTCACGTACACACACAGTGACCTTCACAGAAATTTAAATCAACTTAAAGAAATTCACGAAAGTATTCTTGCGCTGTTGAGTACAACTCGAACGCCTGTAACAACAAAGTAATGTCAATTAGTATCTTATGAGGTATAACTGTTTCTATTTGCGCTGTTTTTGTATTCAACTCATTGCCAACTAATTATAGAAGAGTAGTAACAAAATATACTTTAAAGAAAATGAAACAGACATGTATAAATAAAGTGATCGGATATGTGATCTATAAACTTCCCAATCAGTAAAAGCATGGCATATTTGATGTCAGATCACTATTGTGAACCTAATCAATCTGTATGGATAACATTAACCATCCATAGCTACATACACACATCTATACTAATTACTCGCGTCAATGACAAAATTTAATTAATTCTAGTTATGATTACGTTTCACAATTACTGATTTAACGTTTTTTTTATATCGCATACTTTAACTATCTAAACTGAACGAAGGGTATATTAACGTTCGGATTTTTCAACTATTACAATCAAGTTAACTTTAAGATAAGAAGAGAACGGATTCCGTTTTATTTTTCAAATATAGTACGTTATTATATATACTTTACTAAGACCAACCGTTTCTATGTAATACTTCACAAATTTGTAACTTAAAAGAGTGAACTAAAGAAGAACTAGGGTCGAACGAGAGTTCTAGTATGTATCCATCTTATTAGAAACCCACCCTTTCTTCTCCAACATGACACATTCCTTGCAGTTCAAAGTTTCCACTTAG